AAGAAAGAAAGAAAGAAAGGAAGAAACGGGAAGAAAGAAAGAAAGGAAGAAAGAAAGGAAGAAAGGAAGAAAGAAAGAAAGGAAGAAATTGCTTGAGTTAATTGGTAATCAAGTGGCAGCATTTTAGCACTTTAAATAACAAGAAACCCAAAACATTTTACAAAGAGTCGCCAAGTCTTTACTCAGGTGTTCAAATAAGAAAAAACTCGGACTGAAGCGATTGTTGTTAGATCAGCTTGATTGCATTATCTGAGTTTATTAGTGGTTTTTATCTCCCGGGATGAGCCAAGCTTTCAGTTATTCAAAAAATAATATTATAATTCGATGTTAGTCTCGGACGCTTCAAATGTAAACTTGATAAATGGCCGTTCAGAACACAACTGGAAAAAAACTTCTTCGCAACTACAAAATGACGTAAATGTCAAAATTCTTAATTAATTTTCAAACTATGGAAGTCACTAAAAATACATGTCAAATTTATCTTGGATGTGAGGATAGCAGAAAAACACAAAATAAGTTTACCCCCGATGGGATTTGTGCCATTTCCTCATAGTATTCATCTCTTATCCTTCCATGGAAGATCATTTTGGAAGGGTCTATAGAAGTATAAAAATGCATGGACAAAAATATAGAAACGGTAATCTCCAATTTATTTCAATGCTGATTTGTGGAGAATTTGAATTCTATCGTATTAATGCTACGACGCGTAGTTTTTTTTGGATCGTTTTCGGGTCGTTTTCGCGCGTCCACACACGCATCTGTTTTCCAAAAGCTGCGTTTCCAAGCCAAAGAAAATTTTCCGTTTTCAAAAATATTCGGATATGTGAGACGGGAATTTAGAATCGGTTAGATTGGCAAATATAGTGTCGTAAGTGACAGCCCTTTTTAAAAGCCGACATCCGATCTGAGAAAAAATTGAAACAGTTACATTAACGCACACTAAAAATAAACTGCTTCGAAGATATTAAATCGAGTGTCTCGCTGACTGAATAACACGAGAAGGTCACTAAATTTGTCTACCTTACGATCACTTTGAAATCCTTGCAATTAATTTCAATCTCGCTATGAGTTGATAACGTTTACCGTTATCGATCTAATAGTAATGCAGTTAAGAAAAAAAACAACACACACACACACACAAAAAAACTTTCAATTCTGATTTCTTGGTCTGCGGTTTTAAACTGCATCAGTCAACGCATTTTGATAAGCGTTCTGTTCTAACTAATTTAAGTATGGAAATTTGTACATCACATCTCAGTGATTTTTGCATAGGGGAAAAATGAAATTGGTTTTGGAGATTAGACAAAATCAACGCACTATTTCTGTACTTTTTTATACATGTGATTTTTTCTTGACTATATATTGAAGAAAAAATGAAATCCGTTTTAGAAATGACGAATAATTAACGCAAGATTTCTGTTCTCTTTTCTTCATTCGTTTTCTTGTTATGTGCTTGGAGTCAGGCCGCAAGAACGACACGGGTTTTCTTCATCAGTTTTTCGCTAGACCCCTATGACAACGATTTTACGATACATAAAAGACTGGATTTTTATCATTACAAATTACTTTACACGCACCATGTTCATTTGGAGAAAAAAATTGGTTGAAAGGAATGGAGACCTTGTTGAAGAAGCAACAAAAGAAAACCTAATTTTTTCTGAAGCACGTTCTAGGCTTGTAATAAACTACTTCGACGATGAGGCGGCCATCTTGAATCGCAAGGCATTATGGGTCGTCCAGGGGGTAAAACTAAGCAAAGATGCTGAAATTACGACCCCACGATATTTGAGAAATTTCCTCAGTTGTGAAACTGTGATTTTCTTTAAAAAAGCAAACATCTCATTTAGGAAATAGAACATCAGTTTACGCCTAAATGCTCGCCTCTAATCAAAGCGACCCGCGTTGTATTTGGTGTCGTCTGTTGATTCTTGGTTCTCTTCTGATTTTCGAGGTTTACTCTATGTTGCTAGATTTTTTTGGCCTCCCTCAAAAATGAACTTGTAATTGTGATTAGATTCTGTGAAAGAAGAACCACTCTGTGAAACCACTATCAAATCCCATTGTCGTAATTATGGCCAGTTTTGTCAACACTGGGAGACATTTCCAAATTGGTGCACATAATGTGACGCATGCAGAGATAAATGATACAAATTACAAAACAAATTGCCACAAAAGCCTTAATGAAAGAGTTCAAAGATTAAAACCCTTTTAAAAGTATTTTGCATGAGAGATTAATAGGAAAATACAAAGGAAACTATCAAAACTTTTTCAATTTCCACAGTTTCCTCCTACCCTCCCATCGAATATAATTTAAGAAATTTTATATTTCATAATTTAATATTTTTTAAATACACTAGACAAAACGTGCCCAAAACTAACGAGTTTCTTTGCTTAATTAGTCACATAGTTCTTCGACATTTTTGAAACCATGGACATTGGATTAAATTGGAATCGAATTGAGTAATTAATAACTAAAATAAAAAATACCATCGACCATCAAATGCTGACTAAGCTCCAAAATATAGATTAACGATGCTATAGCATGACTAAATCCTACTAAACGACTTGTGCTAACAGGAGAGAAGACGAAGCGATGCTATAGCATGACTAAATGCTACTAAACGACTTGTGCTAACAGGAGAGAAGACAAAGCGATGCTATAGCATGAACGAATCTTACTAAACGAATTGTGCTAACAGGAAAGAAGACGAAGCGATGCTATAGCATGAATGAATCTTACTAAATGACTTGTGCTAACAGGAAAGAAGAGGAAGCGATGCTATAGCATGACTAAATCTTACTAAACGACT